AAAATGTATTCATATGATTGTGGTGAATCTCTCACTCGTAGTGATAATCTTTGTAAGCACCAATTCCAATTCATTCGAGTTTTATCCCAACACCAACAACAGTTCAATCTTCCTCTTGAGATGATGACTTGGTGATCGAAACACGTGTCGAGGAGTTGAAAATAACGATTTGGTGTTGGGAAAAAACTCCAGTAGTATTCATTACTTCACCGAAGGTTCCAAACAGTGCATCACAAAATCGACTTTTGTTTTGATTCTTCATTTTTTTCACTGGTTGCTCAGTGCTCTGCACATTCCTCCACATTCTCACGATACAAATATATAAATGATAAACAATTCAAGTTTTCAAAATATGGGTTATGTCCTCCAGCACGTCTCGTCTTCTGAATGCTATGATACCATTTGTATTGCAATCAGCCTCTCCAATTGAGTATGTTATCATTTTTTCCTGACATTCGATATTTTCTTTGAAACTGACAATATCACCACCAAGAGATTTCAAAATTGCCTGAGGAGCACATGTATCCCATTTGAACGTGGTGCCCTTCGATAACAAATAGGCGTCTGCCAGACCTGCAAATAAAAATTCTGAATCAATTACTTTCGTGATTGGTATTATGATAACAATGATAATAATTTTTATTACTCGGTGAAGAGTACAAATTTCGAATCACACTATTTCTATGTATACACGTACAGTGATAAAAAACCTCCAGGAATGGAAACGGTAATAAGATATTGAAATTCTTGATATCTTCCATGAACAGCTTGAATGCGATCGCTCGTAGTCCATGGAAAAGCTGGCTGAGATGATGCACGTATTCTCGTGATATCAGAATTATTCTAACCTATTTTTCTCTAACCTGGTTTATCACTAGCCACCAGGGGGCTAGTGAGGTACCAAAAACGCAACATCACGAGAAATCTCGAGTAAGCCTCGGCAGGAAGTGGGAAGACTAAATGCTGAAATGAGGCTCTGTTGGGCAGAGAACCACCCATTAATACCAGTGGGGGAGTCTCCCATCGACCTGCTGTGGGTCTATGAGGCGGTGCCTCACCTCGTGCACGTTCTGGGGCTCAATATTGAAGTCTCATCCTGCTGATCCTCCTTTTCCTTCACCAATTCTGTTCCTCTCCTCCTACCACCCCGTATGTGGGAGAGATGTGAATATTGTGAATACTCTGTACAGTAGACCTTACATCTGTTAAGGAGAAATGTATTATAAAGTATTTTTGATATGATAGCAAAACGACTGGTATACAAGGTGTCCCTGGACTTCCTCTTTTCCTCTCGGGAATCTATAGATGGGGTCAAAATATCACCAGTACTTCATATAACTTTTTTTCCTAAAATCCTTCGTTACCAAGTAACGGGCCCTCGAAGTTACAAAATGAAAAATGTTTTTCTTTGATAACTTTTCAAGTGAATATTCAAAATCATCCAAATTTTGGTAATTGACTAAACAAATGAATTCC